GTAAGTGTAAGTGTAAGTGTAAGTGTAAGTGTAAGTGTAAGTGTAAGTGTAAGTGTAAGTGTAAGTGTAAGTGTAAGTGTAAGTGTAAGTGTAAGTGTAAGTTTAAGTGTAAGTGTAAGTGTAAGTGTAAGTGTAAGTGTAAGTGTAAGTGTAAGTGTAAGTGTAAGTGTAAGTGTAAGTTTAAGTAAGTGTAAGTGTAAGTGTAAGTAAGTGTAAGTGTAAGTGTAAGTGTAAGTGTAAGTGTAAGTGTAAGTGTAAGTGTAAGTGTAAGTGTAAGTGTAAGTGTAAGTGTAAGTGTAAGTGTAAGTTTAAGTTTAAGTGTAAGTGTAAGTGTAAGTGTAAGTGTAAGTGTAAGTGTAAGTGTAAGTGTAAGTGTAAGTGTAAGTGTAAGTGTAAGTGTAAGTGTAAGTGTAAGTGTAAGTGTAAGTGTAAGTGTAAGTGTAAGTGTAAGTGTAAGTGTAAGTGTAAGTGTAAGTGTAAGTGTAAGTGTAAGTGTAAGTGTAAGTGTAAGTGTAAGTGTAAGTGTAAGTGTAAGTGTGTAAGTGTAAGTGTAAGTGTAAGTGTAAGTGTAAGTGTAAGTGTAAGTGTAAGTTTAAGTGTAAGTGTAAGTGTAAGTGTAAGTGTAAGTGTAAGTAAGTGTAAGTGTAAGTTTTAAGTGTAAGTGTAAGTGTAAGTGTAAGTGTAAGTGTAAGTGTAAGTGTAAGTGTGTAAGTGTAAGTGTAAGTGTAAGTGTAAGTGTAAGTGTAAGTGTAAGTGTGTAAGTGTAAGTGTAAGTGTAAGTGTAAGTGTAAGTGTAAGTGTAAGTGTAAGTGTGTAAGTGTAAGTGTAAGTGTAAGTGTAAGTGTAAGTGTAAGTGTAAGTGTAAGTGTGTAAGTGTAAGTGTAAGTGTAAGTGTAAGTGTAAGTGTAAGTGTAAGTGTAAGTGTAAGTGTAAGTGTAAGTGTAAGTGTAAGTGTAAGTGTAAGTGTAAGTGTAAGTGTAAGTTTAAGTGTAAGTGTAAGTGTAAGTGTAAGTGTAAGTGTAAGTGTAAGTTAAGTGTAAGTGTAAGTGTAAGTGTAAGTGTAAGTGTAAGTGTAAGTGTAAGTGTAAGTGTAAGTGTAAGTGTAAGTGTAAGTGTAGTTGTGGTACGATGCACAGGTCACGAGTTCTGCTTCTGCTGACACATGAAACTCACACAGACACTTGACATATGTCAAATCCAAGGTAGGAACTTTAGATCTTGTTTTGTTTTACTTTCTTTGTGGTTTAGTCCTGGTTTAGTCCTAATTGTCCTGGTTTAGTTTGAGTTTAGACCTGGTTTAGTCATAATTATGTCCTGGTTTAGATCTGGTTTAGACCTGGTTTAGTCCTGGTTTTAGACTTGGTTTTAGACCTGGTTTAGTCAGTGTTTAGACCTGGTTTAGTCCTGGTTTAGAGTCCTGAGTTAGACCTGGTTTAGACCTGGTTTAGTCCTGGTTTAGTCCTAATTGTTCTGGTTTAGTTTGAGTTTAGACCTGGTTTAGTCATAATTGTGTCCTGGTTTAGATCTGGTTTAGACCTGGTTTAGACCTGGTTTAGTCCTGGTTTAGTCCTGGTTTAGTCCTGGTTTAGACCTGGTTTAGTCCTGGTTTAGACCTGGTTTAGTCCTGGTTTAGACCTGGTTTAGTCCCTGTTTAGACCTCGTTTAGTCCTGGTTTAGTCATAAATATGTCCTGGTTTAGACCTGGTTTAGAACTGGTTTTAGTCCTGGTTTAGACCTGATTTAGCCCTCATTTAGTCTTGGTTTAGACCTGGTTTAGAACCTGGTTTTAGTCCGTTTAGTTTAGACCTGGTTTAGTCCGTGTTTTATCCTGGTTTAGACCTGGTTTAGTCCTTGTTTAGTCCTTGTTTAGTCCTTGTTTAGACCTGGTTTAGTCCTTGTTTAGTCCTTGTTTAGTCCTGGTTTAGACCTTGTTTAGTCCTTGTTTAGTCCTTGTTTAATCCTGGTTTAGAACTGGTTTCCAAGCGATTTTCATTTGTATATTTTACTTTTCTCAAATAACGAATGTGTTAAAAATAAACCCTGAGTCTTTTCTGCGAGTCTCACACAATAATAATAATAAAAAGTACAAAGTTCAGATATCTGCTCTCGAATGTAGTGACGCAAAAATTGGATTAATTACCTGCCCAATACCACTGTAAATGTTTAATGTTTAACTTTAAGCACTAATAAATGGACAGTGGTTTAGGTTTTATTGACGTCTGACTGTACTCAAAGCCTCGTCCTCTTTCTTATTTGGTATTTTTGTAAAGTTATTTTAAAGTCTAAATTGGAACGACACAATCAAATATGCAGATTTAATTTTGGTATATAAAGTTTTTAATGATCTTGCTCCAACTCCTCCTGAAAATAAATTCAGGTCTAGAGGCGACTGCTCTGTGTCGTTTCAGAAAAGTGCTTTTGGACAAACTCTCCTTTTCTTATCGAGAAGGTCAAATATGAAAAACAGAGCGGCTCAGATACGAGAACTTTCAGCACTGGACACCAGGACGAATGAGGACTAAACCAGGACTAAACCCGAGCTAAACCAGGACTAAACCTGAGCTAAACCAGGACTAAACCTGAGCTAAACCAGGACTAAACCTGAGCTAAACCAGGACGAATGAGGACTAAACCAGGACTAAACCCGAGCTAAACCAGGACTAAACCTGAGCTAAACCAGGACTAAACCCGAGCTAAACCAGGACTAAACCTGAGCTAAACCAGGACAAAATTAGGACTAAACCAGGACTAAACCGAGCTAAACCAGGACTAAACCTGAGCTAAACCAGGACGAAATTAGGACTAAACCAGGACTAAACCTGAGCTAAACCAGGACTAAACCTGAGCTAAACCAGGACGAAATAGGACTAAACCAGGACTAAACCCGAGCTAAACCAGGACTAAACCTGAGCTAAACCAGGACTAAACCTGAGCTAAACCAGGACAAAATTAGGACTAAACCAGGACTAAACCTGAGCTAAACCAGGACTAAACCTGAGCTAAACCAGGACTAAACCTGAGCTAAACCAGGACTAAACCTGAGCTAAACCAGGACTAAACCTGAGCTAAACCAGACAAAACAGAAACCAGGACGAAACCTGAGCTAAACCAGGACTAAATGAGGACTAAACCAGGACAAAATTAGGACTAAACCAAGAATAATCTAGGAAAAAAACAGGACTAAATTAGGACTAAATCAGGACTAAACCCGAGCTAAACCAGGACTAAACTTGAGCTAAATCAGGATGGAATTAGGACTAAACCAGGACAAAACCTGAGCTAAACCAGGATTTAACTAGAATTAAACCAGGACAAAATTAGGACTAAACCAGGACTAAACCCGAGCTAAACCAGGACGAAATTAGGAATAAACCAGGACTAAAATCAAGCTAAAACCAGGACTAAACTCAAGATAAACCAGGACAAAATTAAGAATAATCAGGACTAAACCTGAGCTAAACCAGGAATAAACCAGGACTAACCCGAGCTAAACCAGGACTAAACCCGAGCTAAAACCAGGACTAAACCCGAGCTAAACCAGGACTAAACCAGACTAAACCAAAATTAGGACTAAACCAAGAATAAACTAGGAAAAAAACAGGGCTAAAATTAGGACTAAACCCGAGCTAAACCAGGACTAAACTTGAGCTAAATCAGGATGGAATTAGGACTAAACCAGGACAAAACCTGAGCTAAACCAGGATTTAACTAGAATTAAACCAGGACAAAATTAGGACTAAACCAGGACTAAACCCGAGCTAAACCAGGACGAAATTAGGAATAAACCAGGACTAAAAATCAAGCTAAACCAGGACTAAACTCAAGATAAACCAGGACAAAATAAGAAATCAGGACAAACCTGAGCTAAACCAGGAATAAACCAGACTAAACCCGAGCTAAACCAGGACTAAATTACGACTAAACCAGGTAAACAAAACCAGTCCAGGACATTTTTTGTGTGATTGTTGTTGTATTTTCCTCCGTCCTGTAGATGATTTTACATCAACCTGTACATATATTTTAAATACATATTTTATATTTTAAATGTTCATTAATATATAATATATAATACAAATAAATAAATAAATAAAAAAGAATAAGAATAAAGGAGCTCAAAAAGAGAAAAAATGTTGGAGATCTCTGCCCCCAAACTTTAGTCTCCGTCACGTGTGGGGTTACGTTGTCATGTCGCGGCTCACGACTCCATCTAGCGGCCACAGGTGGTATTTCCTTATTCTTACACTGTACAAATTTACTCGTTGTTTACCCGGCAGCACCGTAAATACAGCTCATGTACGACAACTTTCAGCACTGGACACCAGGATGAAATTAGGACTAAACCAGGACTAAACCTGAGCTAAACCAGGACAAAATTAGGACTAAACCAGGACTAAACCTGAGCTAAACCAGGACAAAATTAGGACTAAACCAGGACTAAACCTGAGCTAAACCAGGACGGAATTAGGACTAAATCAGGACTAAACGTTACGTAAACCAAGACTAAACTCGTGCTAAACCAGGACTAAATTTGAGCTAAACCAGGACGAAATTAGGACTAAACCAGGACTAAACTCGTGATAAACCAGGACGAAATTAGAACTAAACCCGAGCTAAACCAGGACAAAATTAAGAATAAACCAGGTGTAAAAAAAAAACAACAGCAAAAAAAAAAAAACAAAAAAACAAAAAAAACAGTCCAGGACATCTTTTGTGTGATTGTTGTTGTACTTTTCTCTGTCCTGTCACGTCGCGGCTCACGACTCCATCTAGCGGCCACAGGTGGTATTTTCCTTATCCCCACACTGTACAAATTTACTCGTTGTTTACCCGGCAGCACCGTCCCCTCCCTCCCGCCCCTCTCACTCCCCTCTCCCCGCGCTCCAAGCCTCCGAACGCGGGTTATTTTTAGCGCAGTTCGGCGGGGGACCTCACGGCAGCGCCCCTCCTCTTCCTCTGCTGTTTTCACTCTCTACCTGCCTCTCCCTCCTCCTCCTCCTCCTCCTCCTCCTCCTCCTCTGCTTTCCTCGCTTCCTCGCCTCCTCGTCTCCTCGTCGCTCCGCTCGCTGTTTTAAACGATGAGGATTGCGCGGAGGAGATGAGGCTCCGAAATGCGTCCTTCCTCACGCTGCTCCTCTTCGGCCTGTGCGCGCTGGTGTCGCTGTCCTGGTACACGGCGTTCAGCGGATCCAGAGGTAACACACACACACACGCACAACACACACACACACACACGCCGCGCTGGGGGGGACGCACGCTCCACGCCGGCTCACCCCTGCACCCTGTGGCCGGGGAGCATCGCCCTCAGCCCGGCGTCAGTGCACTGCGGAGCTCCCCCCCCCGGTGCACGGGGCTGCGTGCGGTGCCTTGCTCCCGCCGCCGTGCCACCGCCGCCGTGCACCGCCGTGACTGAGATGCTGGAGCACGTGAGGCCGGCGGGTGTTGTGGGCTTTTTTTTTTTTTTTTTTGGAGATTGGCGCGGTTTGGTTTGGTTTGGCTCGGTTCGGTTCGGTTTGGGGTTGAAGTGTGGAGCGCGACAGATGAGAAGCGCAGCGAGGAGGTTTGTTTTGACGCGGGGTCTCGGAGACTCCGGAGACAGCGGAGTAACGGGACCTAACCCCGGGTAGGAATGGGGACTAAACCAGGTCTAACCCGGGACTAAACCAGGTCTAACTCAGGACTAAACCAGGACTAAACCGGGACTAACCCAGAACGAAATTTTGACTGAACAAACTGTGTCTAAACCCAGACTACTATGGAATTACTGAATTTTAAAGCATGAAGGGGACTAAACCAGGTCTAAACCAGGACTAAACCAGGTCTAACCCGAGACTAAAGCAGGTCTAACCCAGAACTAAACTGGGACTAAACCAGGACTAAACCAGGTTTAAACCAGGACGAAATTTTAACTGAACAAACAACATCTGAATCAAGACTACTATGGATTTAACAAATTTTAAACCATAAAGGGGACTAAACCAAGTCTAAACCAAGTCTAACCCAGGACTAAACCAGGATGAAATTTTGACTGAACAAACAACATCTGAAGCAAGACTACTATGAAACTAACGAACTTTAAACCCTGCAGGGGACTAAACCAGGACTAAACCAGCTCTAAATCAGGTCTAACCCAGGTCTAACTCAGGGACTAAACCAGGATGAAATTTGGACGAAACACTAAACAATACCAGGACTACTGTGGAATTAACACAGTTTAAATTATGCAGGGGACTAAACCAGGTCTAACCCTGGACTAAACCAGGTCTAACCCTGGTCTAAACCAGGTCTAACCCAGAGCTAAACTAGGACAAAATTTGGACAAAACAGTGAACAAGATCTAAACCAGGACTACTGTGGAATTAACAAAGTTTAAACCCTGCAGGGGACTAAACCAGGTCTAACACAGGTCTAAACCCAGAGCTAAACTAGGGTGACATTTGGACTACTATGGAATTAAAATATTTAAGACACACAGGGGACTAAACCAGGACTAAACCAGATGTAAACAAGTCAAGAATTACCATGTATTTAACAAACTGTAACAAAACCTGGTCTAACCTGGTCTAAACCAGGACAAAATTAGTATTAGACCACATCAGAACCAGGACTATGATGGATTAAACAGATTCTAAACCATGTTGGGGACTAAACCAGGACTAAACTGAAGCTAAACCGGAACAAAATTAGGACTAAGCCAGGACTAAACCCGAGTTAAACCAGGACAAAACAAGGACTAAACCAAGACAAAATTAGGACTAAACTAGGACTAAACCTGAATTAAACCACGACAGAATTAGGACGAAACTCGAGCTAAACTGGGACTGGGACTAAACCAGATGTAAACAAGCCCAGCCCAGGACCTTGATCTCCTGGGTCCTAACCTGGTCTAATTAGAAACCAGGGCTAAACCAGGTGTGAACCACAACCAGGTCTAAACCAGGCCGGACTAAACCAGGTTCAAACCAACTTTATCGTAGTGTAACATGTTTCTATAGATTATATTTATGTCCTGAGTAAATTAACGCAGACTTAAAAATATGAATACCCGACTGAGGAGGATTGGGTTTGACGGAGTCTTGTTTTAGACCTGGTTTAGTTCTCGGATAGTCCTCAGTTTTCAGTAAAAGTCAGGTTTTTTCGCAGGGATTTTGAGATCTCATGAAGCTTCAAATGACAAAATATTTGTGTTGAATTCCGGTCAAAAGAAACAACAGACTCGAGAAGATCATTTTTTTCCAAGCTATTTTTATTTGTATATTTTCGTTTGCTCAGATTACGAACGTGTTAAAAATAAACCCTCAGTCTTTTCTGCGACTCACACAAAAATAAAAAAAAATGTAGTGGAGTAAAAAGTTCAGATATTCGCTCTCAAATGTCGTGAAGTAAAAATAAAAAGTACCAACTGTAAAACGTACTTATATTATATTATACTTTTTATTTTATTTGACATTTGTGCTCGTTTGGTCTTCATGTAGACTGGGTTTGGTCCTGTTCTGGTTTGATCCTGGTCCGGTCTGGGTTAAGTTTCCGGAACATCAGATTGTAGATTTTGTCTGTGTCTGTTTAAGTTTGTTTAGTCTGGATTTGAGTGTCCGACTAATTATATGTTTACGGCTGAAATTTGGCGTCCACTGGTCCAGACCTACACCTGGTCCAACAGTCCTACAAAGACCTGGTTTAGACCTGGTTTTGACTTGGTGTTTGACTTGGTTTAGTCCTGGTTTGTCAGCTATACCACAGTTCTGGTTTGGCCTGGTTTAGACCGTGTTTAGACCTGGTTTAGACCGTGTTTGTCCTGGTTTAGACCGTGTTTGTCCTGGTTTAGACTGGGTTTTTGACTTGGTTTAGTCCTGGTTTGTCAACTATACTACAGTCCTGGTTTGGCCTGGTTTAGACCGTGTTTAGATCTGATTTAGACCATTTTTAGACCCGGTTTGTCCTGATTTAGACTGGGTTTTTGACCTGGGTTAGTAGTGGTTTGTCAGCTATACCACAGTTCTGGTTTGGCCTGGTTTAGACAATGTTTAGACCTGGTTTAGACCTGTGTTTGTCCTGGTTTAGACTTGATGTTTGACTTGGTTTAGCCCTGGTTTGTCAACTATACTACAGTCCTGGTTTGGCCTGGTTTAGACCGTGTTTAGACCTGATTTAGACCATTTTTAGACCCGGTTTGTCCTGGTTTAGACTGGGTTTTTGACTTGGGTTAGTCCTGGTTTAGACCTGCTTCAGACCTGGTTTAGACCTGGTTTAGACTGTCTTTAGACCCGGTTTTTCCTGGTTTAGACTGGGTTTTTGACTTGGTTTAGTCCTGGTTTTTCAGCTATACCACAGTCCTGGTTTAGTCCTGGTTTATACTAGGTTTAGACCTGCTTTAGACCCGATTTTTGACTGGTTTAGACCCAGTTTGTTCTGGTTTATACTGGGTTTTAGACTTGGTTTAGTCCTGGTTTGTCAGCTATACCACAGTTCTGGTCCAGCCTGGTTTAGACCTAGTTTAGACTGAGTTTAGTCCTGGTTTAGATTAAGTTTAAACCTGCTTTAGACCTGCTTCAGATTAGACCTGGTTTAGGGCTAGACCATGTTAGGACTGAGTTTAGTCCTGCTTTAGACCTGCTTTAGACCTGGTTTGTCCTGGTTTAGGCTGGGTTTTTGACTTGGTTTAGTCCTGGTTTGTCAGCTGTACTGCAGTCCTGGTTTGGCCTGGTTTAGACCTGGCTTAGACCTGGTTTAGACCTGCTTTAGACCTGGTTTAGGCCTGGTTTAGACCTAGTTTAGACTGTGGTTAGACTGTTTTTTTGTCTTGGTTTAGTCTTTGTTCAGTTCTTATGATTAAGACCTGATTTAGTTCTAATTTGGTCCTGGTTTAGTCCTGATTTAGTCCATGTTTTGGACCTGCTTTAGTGAGGTTTTGGCAGGTCTGAGCAGGTCTCAGAGGAAGAAAACAGTTGTCCTATTTTAGTCCTAATTTGACCCTGGTTTATCCTGTTTTAATCCTGTTAGTTTGGTCCTGGTTTGCACCTGGTTTAGACCATGTTTTGGACCTGCTTTAGTCCTGTTTTGGATACAGTTTAGACCGTGTTTTGGACTTGTTTTAGACCTGGTTTAGACCGTGTTTTGGACTTGTTTTAGACCTGGCTTAGACCATGTTTTGGACCTACTTCAGTCATAATTTGACTCTAGTTTATCCTAATTTAGTCCTATTTGTTTGGTCCTGTTTAGTCCTGGTTTGGATCTGGTTTAGACCATGTTTTGGTCTTGATTTAGACTTGTGTTTTTTACTTGGTTTAGTCCTGGTTTGTCAGAAATACCACAGTCCTGGTTTGGCTTGGTTTAAGCCTGGTTTAGACCTGGTTTAGACCCAGTTTAGACTTGGTTTTTGACATGGTTTAGTTGTGATTTGGTCCTGGTTTATCCTATTTTAATTATTTTAGTTTGGTCGTGGTTTAGTCCTGCTTTAGTCCTGATGTAGTCCTGGTTTTGTCCTGGTTTAGTCGTGTTAGTTTGGTTGTGGTTTAGTCCTGTTTTAATCCTGATGTAGTCCTGGTTTATTCTGTTTTAGTCGTGTTAGTTTGGTCTTGGTTTAGTCCTGCTTTAGTCCTGATGTAGTCCTGGTTTAGTTCTGGTTTTATCCTGGTTTAGTCCAGTTGTAGTCTTGATGTAGTCCTGGTTTGTCGTGGTTTAGTCCTGGTTTATCCTGTTTTAGTCGTGTTAGTTTGGTCCTGGTTTAGTCCTGGTTTTGTCCTGGTTTTAGTCCCCTGGTTTAGTCCTGATTTAGTCCTGGTTTAGTCCTGGTTTAGTCTTTGGTTTAGTCCTGTTTTGTCCTGGTTTTAGTCCTGATTTAATCCTGGTTTAGTCCTGGTTTAAGTTTTTGTCCTGGTTTAGTCCTGGTTTAGTCCTGGTTTAGTCCTGTTTAGTCCTGGTTAGTCCTGGTTTAGTCCTGGTTTAGTCCTGGTTTTGTCCTGGTTTAAGTCCTGGTTTTGTCCTGGTTTAGTCCTGGTTTAGTCCTGGTTTATCCTGGTTTAGTCCTGAGTTTTTAGTCCTGGTTTAGTCCTGGTTTAGTCCTGGTTTAGTCCTGGTTTAGTCCTGGTTTAGTCCTGGTTTGTCCTGGTTTTGGTCCTGGTTTAGTCCTGGTTTTGTCCTGGTTTTAGTCCTGGTTTAGTCCTGGTTTTGTCCTGGTTTAGTCCTGGTTTAGTTC